AATCTAATTTAGTAAACCAAAGCCCAATTTAAAATAACCCTAACCCAATTAAACCTACCCGACCCAGTAACCCTGTTTAATCGTGGTCGTTGATCTTTTAGATCAACGGTCCACAATTAAACTTATCATATTAATCCCAAACGACCCCCTAAACCCGTTCATTCTTTCATTTACGCCGCCCTCGTTCCCTAACCTCTCAAACTCTCTCTCAACTCACCCCTAACCCTAATCGTCGTCATCGACGGAGGCCTCTTTTCCAATATATTTCTGTGCATTCTCCGACCGACACCGGCCTCCTATACTCTCTGGCTGCTCGGTTTCATGAGTCATTGAGAAGATCTCATAGAAATCCAACCTGTTCCGGTTTGAAAGTTGTTTACTTGCCTGTCTTAGGCCACTTTCATTTGTGAGTATGGATTTCCTCTTGTTTCTAGTACGAATCTATGGGTTTTCGACCGATTCTCTTCGTCTCTACTATCTTCTGAAAACCCTAGTTTCACTATTGTTCGAATCTTCTCAGATCTTTATAGATCTAAGGTGATTTGAGTATTATTGGGTATTTTCCTTTAAATCTCTTGGTTTAATTAATTGTTTCAACTTCTTTTACTCTCTCTGAAATTAGGGTTCCTGCCAGACTTTTTTCAAAGATTTTTCTAAACCTTTCAGTGTTAAACTAATGGTTTCTTTACATGTTTGATTAATTTTCGTGTATATGTTTAAACCCTAGATGTTTCTGTTTGTGACACTGATTTCTTCATTTTTTCGTTATTGTGTTTATTTCTGTGAACCCGTTGTATTGACTGACTTTATTCATTAGTCTTGAACGAATTTCCTATTAAAACCAGTATTCTTTGGGATTTCTTTTTACTTAATTGATTTCTATTAAGGATTTGAACCAATTCTTCCAGTTAAATTAGTACTTCTCTGTGATTTACCTATTTTCCTTATTTGTGACTTTAATTAGTACTGCTTATCTTAATTAGACTATTAGTCTGATTTAGGGATCTAATTGACTCCTATATGGTATATGATTGATTGTTTGCCTTATTTATATCCCAATCTGAATCGTTAAGGGATTCTTCCCAATTTAAGGAGGTCCTTATTGGATTATTCTGTGGAAATTAATCGAGTTAAGTCCCCAATTAACTGATTGATTTATTCTGATTACCTTGGTTTATGAACTTTGATTTATTCTTTACCTTATTTGTCCTACCTTAGTGCTATATAAACTCTCATTTTGATTTCTTTAAACACTAACAATAGTTCAAACACACACACACACACACACATAAACTTGCTCTCATCTCTCTCTCTCTCTCTGCTACTTGTGTTCATTGCTTGTCTAGCCGGCTGAAAGCTAAGGCTGGGCTGTTCAATCCTGCCTACTTTACCTTCCGCTTCTGCTTCTTTAACTGGTATGCTCCCACTTTACTATCATGCAAACCTCTGTATGATTTATTTGTGTACTTTCTATTCTCAGCATGTTCACTTTCCTGTTATTAAATCAGTATGATCTTTATATCAGCCCTCCTATCTTTAATTAAACCTATGTGCTTCATGCTTCTTGTTCCTAATTAGCATGTGTACTACTATTCAATTAGACTATATGCTTCCTGCTATTCAATGTGTTTCCTTATAATTAACATGCCTTCCTTCTGCTTAATCAAACTAATGTGTCTACTACAATAAGCATTTCTACTTCTGTTCAACCTATATGTTGTTGCAATAGCATGTCGACTTCGGTCTGATTGATCCTATGGGTCTTGCTTTCAATCTATTTGCTCTTATTTTAGTCAGACCTATGTGCTTCTACTTTCAGCAAGTCTGTATACTTGCTCATGTCTAAACTGGATCTATGTTTGTTTACTTCTTCACTAGTATGCTCTTTAAGTGTTCATCTCTCACAGACTCCTGAACAATATGGCTCCCCATCCCCACTACCCCTTTGAATGTGACTATCTGAGTGATCCCTGCATGTCATGCCTTTGATTAGTGTCTACTCACCTAGTAACTATTGATAAATTAAGTTGAAACTCTAAGTCACCCTGTTTTGTATACCATTTGACTGCTGGGACCTTTTGTTACAATGATAGAATGACCTTGTTTGCTCCTTACTTCCTGAAAATCCAAAACTATTTTTTCTTAAAAAACTATCTCTTGTTTTCAACTACTATTCTTAGAACACCTAGGGTCTTGCCCCTCTAGTGTGAGCATTGCTTAGGAGTCCATGAGACTCCTCTGAACTTTGACACACTGGAGTTGGCTTTCCAAACTTACACCAAAAGGGTTTCTTTGAATGTTTTTCTGGTGGGAGCATTGCCCGGGGTCCCTGAGGCCCTGGGAACTTTGACACACCAGGATACTATTGGGTGTAATATGAGGTTATGGCATTTTTGGACTGGTTGAAGGCCTGGTTTGCCAGGTTTATTCTTTGGGCCTCTATTCAGGCTCCCTATAGCATAGTTTGTTCTTTCTGTAATTCATATGGTCTGTAATAATAATTCTTGTAAACAGATATTGGGAAAATTAGTAAAAATGGGAGGGACGTTTTATATATATATAATGTGGGGAATCGGGTGGAAATCATGCTTCTAGGACCATTATGATTATCTACTTGCATTAAAAACCATGCTTATAGGATTATTTTGTGCATGTTTATCGGTGCATTATATCATTTGTTCTAAACTTCTGCTTTCTAAAATTCAGCATATGTCATGCCTGTTTAGAAATCCTGTCACTAGGTTGCTATTAATTCTGCCTAATAATCATGTCTATTCTCTTATGTGCATTAGAAATCATGCTTTAGGACTTTTTATTACCCTCGCCTAAATACCATGACTACATCTAGATCGTACAGAATCAATTTCTTCAGTAACAAATACGTCTATAAGAGTAAGTTTTAAAAGCAGCCTCTACACTTAGGTATCATGTCTATAGAGATAATGTGTATAAAAAAAACTGTTCTGTAAGGTTTTACCTAGACAGCATGCCTATAGGATCTAAACTGCTTGCTTAAAATTGTCTACTGGTTGCTGCACTCCTGATTAATAACTAGATTCCATGTTCATAAGACATCATTGATACACGCCTAGGCAAGCCTGTAGGGCGACAGAAATCCTGCAAACTATAAAACCGCGCTTTTGTCATTTGTGAACTGTCCTAATTCCACATGTCTTAAAATCAGTAGGCAAACTGATTAGGTCTCTATTGTCTCACTTTAACATAATGCTGCACATATTCTATTTGCTCATCTAGATATCCTACTCCAGGACCCTTTGAAATACTTGAAATCTTGTTGTTTGAGGCGTGCTATTATTTGGTTGTGTGAGGAGGTAAAAGTGAGCCTTTAATTGTCTTTTTATGTGAATGTCCTGTTTGTCTTTGATTGTCGCCTAGATTTTTCTCCTTTAGACACCTTAGGAGAGTCTAGAACTGCCTTAATTAGAGGTCCTAATCACCTCCAGGTCATAAGGAAGGGACGGGTAATGCACACATAGAGTTCGTTTAATCAACATCGCTTATATAACCACTAAGGGGAGGGTAATCGGGTAGTAAAGGATATGATGACCTGTGCGCTAATGCTATGTGTAGCACCCTAACTTAGGGATGATTACAAAGCATTGTACAGATATGATCTTGTAGGCTAAAAAATCGAGGACCCCTTTTACCTTTTGTTTTAAATGTAATACCAATTTGTCTAATTTTCTTTATCTGTTTATAAGACTAATTCACACAATTTAAGTTCAGCCGGGACCCACCGTTGTGGACCGTGAGGGGTTCCAAACACCTTCTACTCAAAGTTATTTCGAGCCCTTACCCATTCTCTGGTAATGCAAATCGATTTTATAAGTTATTTGCTTTAGGTGCCCTAACGCACCTTAAATCCGTTAGGTGGCGACTCTTCAAATTTCGTACCCAATTCCCAAAAGGAAATGAATTGTTCCCAATGAATGTTGAAACCCGGACTCCGCGAGAAAAAATGGGGCGTGACAGCATGGGGACTCTGCTGGGGATATTTTAGGCTCTTACCATAACAAACTTGTTTTTCTGAATTAGTCTTGAGCATGTTTTATTCTGTTAATACATGTGCACCCTTTCCCTTTCCCCTTTATTTGTACTTAATTGCTTATTTCTCAAGCATTTATGATTTCTTTATTTCTTGAAACTGACTTGTCTCTTTGTTTTCTTTTTGTAACTGTCTTTCAATTATATAAATACCCGCATTTATCATTTTTAAGCGTGCAAATACTTGACAACATGCTATTTATTGTTGCATAACTCATGTTCAACATCATATTC